ATCGTCGATGTTGAACACAGCTTCAGTGCGGAGAAGAGAGGCGACAAGCCAGCGATTCGCCACGGAATTGGATAGTTGCGGCACAATTCGCAGGTACGGGGCATGTCCAGTGCCACTGCATGCTGGTCGATGCCTTGTGTCGTACCTCGACTTCAACGCAAGCAATTCGTCTGGCATTTTTTCCTTCATGCCATTCCACACGAGCAGCACTTCATGGACAATACTCTCACCCCTCGGCCAATCATACAGAGTGGCATTCAAAACATGCAACAAACGATCTCTTCGCCACGTCATTGGAAATGACACCACCACTACTGTTGGGGAGTCCTCATGAATGTTGCCTTGAGCGGCAATAAGGGCGATCACTTTGCTCACCCTCGGCTGCGACGGCAGAGCAGGCTCAGGATCCATTTGTAATGCCCACACAATGAAAGGAAAAGTAAGAAGCGCCAACACGAGAAGAGCAGATAGAACGCAATACGCCAACAAAGCCAAGATGGGCACGTCGCCGCCTCATCCTCACGCCCTGAGAAGAATAAAAAAAGGAAGAAGAAGAAGAGACTCCGTCAAACCCTCCCCAACACTTCTTCTCTAATGCCGTGTGGAACAAATAACAAAGACAGGAGAGTCAAGACACACATGTGTATAAATGCACACATAAATATATGCAATGTATATATTATATATGTGGTATGTACATTTATCCCTCTTTCCTCCTCCCTATCCTCCTCCTATGCATTATTTGTTTGTATTTCCTTACCACCCCTCTCGACCACGTTTACTACCCTTCCAGCCTGTGTACACATGTTCCATTCATCATTTCCCACTCCACGTTACTTTCATTCCTCCCTTCTATTGTTGTGTGACCCTTTCCTTTCCTCCGTCCTGGTGAGGAATAGATGGATACCTCATCCGCCGCACACACACACACAGGGAGTGGGAGGGAGAACCGCCGTGCAGTCCCTCCGTGGCCCCCATCACCCCACCGCCGCGGAGGGAGGCAGCAGCCGCACACAGCACCGGCATCGCCGAGGTGAGCGGTGCCGCCGCAGCGCCCTAACAATGTATTTTTGCCTGTGCCTTACCACCCGCACCCGCAGCAACAAAATAAAAAAGTGAAAAGCATGCCAGAACACAGCCACAAGAGGAGTTCGACGGCTGGGCAAAAGACGGGGCGGCGGGTGGCGCCCCACACTCACAAATGGAGCACGGCGCACACCATCCGCTCTCCCTCTAAGTGCACTCAGCAGGCCGGCGCCCAGTCACCCTCGTGCCATCGCAATGGGGACCACAAACAATCGTCGTCGCGGACCATCAGTGCCTCTAGCAGGAAAGAAAGCAGAAGAAATGGGGACATGTCAACAGCACAATCAGCAGGGACACACCCAACGAAACAAGAAGACACAAAGTAACAGTCAAAACGGCAGAGTCAAAAACAAATCCGCAGGGAATTACCAAAAACAGAAAAAGAAATTGAAACAAACAAACGAAATGTGGGACCCCTGCAGGTCTCAAGGAAAAAAAAAAGAAAAAAAAATGATGCGGCAGAACTTTCATGTGCCATGCAGCTAAAGACGATTGGGTGCTTGCACATATTACCTGCACAAACAAAAAACGTAATAATAAAAAAAGATCGCATTATTCCAGCATCCCACACAACATTCCTCACACTTCATGCGGCATCCGGCATGTTCCTCCAATCCTCCTTTCGTGCAGTCCGTGGGACGCACAGCCGCAGGGCCGGTACCGCGTGTGGTCAAAAACAAAAGCACAAAAAAAAAAGAAAAAAAAAAAAAGGAAACACATATAAAGTACGAGCCGTCCCCGCAAGGAAATGCACGACTAATCCTAATCACCGCACAGCAGCACAGATAAGGGCGGTGAAGAGCAGCAGCAGCAGAGGCGTGCGCACCCACAAAATGGTGGCGTCGCTGCTGTCCGCACCGCCGGGATCCCGCATCCCAGTGGCGGTGCCTCCGCCATTGACGTCGGCTTGGCTGTCGCCCTCATTATTGTTGTGGGAAGTTTCCTGGGCTGCGTTGTCGCCGGATGGAGAAGAGGGCGTCTGACTGGAAGCTTCGGCTGCCGATGCCACGTGTTCGTTCGTGTCTGTGGATGTCAGCAGACTGACGGCGAAGTATTCGCTTAGCCTTGGATAAGAGCCGCCTTCGTCTGTGTGCTCAGGCGACTTCTTCTGCGGTGCCTCAGCTGCCTCCCCCGGCGGACTGCCGACGCCGCTCTGTGCCTGGCCAACAACCGCCGCTGTCGGTGCAGCCGCCGAACTGCAGTTTTTTATATTCTCGCTCAACAAAATCCCTATGCTGGTCCAAACAACACTCGGTCTACCGCCAGGGGCGCACAGTCCGGTATTTTCCGCATCTCTGTAGACGTACTCAGCGGCAATGCACACCAGTGCACACTCATCCTCTCCTCCACCACCTTCTGCAGGCTTATTAGCACAATTTCTCCAACCCGTCTCGTCGGGAAGACGCCAACCCAACTTACCGTCAGTCCTTGAACAAGAAACATGCACATCCATAAGGGTTTTTGCCGGCACAGGAGTCCCGCAGACGGACAAGCAGCAGCAGCAGCACAAGAGCGCAAGGACCAGCTGATCACACACCACGCGGCGCCGCACAGTCACCATCATCATTCGTCGTAGAGTCGCTCGAATTTGTGAGACAATCTACACAGTGGGGCAAGGACAAAAACAAGAAGAAGAGGGAGAGAGGAATACATGTGCCGCACTAAAGGAACACACACATACACGGTCGTGAAGCAGCACACACACACACACGCACCCAAAAGAGGAAGGAGTAGAAAAGTGTAGCCCCTAGGCTCCGGTGGATGTGGCTACAGTCCCGGGAACCGGGAAGGGGAGCGCATTCCTCATGGAGAGCACGCACCCACAATGAGTTGTCGAGCCCGCAGGAGATATGCAAGCAGGAATGACGGTGGGTGGGCGTTCGGTATGCGGTGTGTCTCACGGGAAAAAGAATGCAATGCAAGGGACAAATCAAAATCCCTGCATTTTTCCATAAGCGGAGTCACATTTCGTTGTCGGCCAGGCAAATGACATCGGATGCCCCGCTCAGCCGCATCTGCCAGCCGCCCTGCAGCCCACGTACATCGCGGAGAGAGCACGCAGCTCCTCAGGCTTCCCTCACCGGCACTGTCGTGCCAGCGCACGCATGTGAATGTCGCGCAAGGGTCCCACGAGCCCAACGGTGAGTCCATGCACCGCAGTCCCCAGAACAAACTGGGGCACCTCGCTCTCCGCCCTTCGCCGCGGAGCCACTCCCGCACACACCGCCACATCCGCCACACCGCCGCGAATCACGGTCCTCCCACAAGACTCTCGCAAATGCACAGCACGCACGCACCCTCTCCTCCCAGCAATCAAAAAGAACGCACAATCCAAAACTTCTGTGAAGAAAAAACAAAATATGACAGCACTGTCACGACAACAAACTGAAGTGACGACAACGAGGTGCGGCCGCAGCAGCCCGCACCCTCTTTCCCCAGCGCGTGGCTCCCCTCTCTCCTTCCCTCGCTTCTGACCCCATAGCCGCCATGAAGAAATCCTTCGCGGATCGCCTGCCGGAATTCGCCGGCACCCACGATTGAAGGCAATGGACAAAGTGAGGGCGGAGCCGCAGTGCACTCGTGTGCCGCGCAAGCGCGTCACTCGCCATAAGGCTCTATCAGCACACCCCGCACCACCGTCCGCCTGTGCCGCCCTCACCGCCTCGTCACACCAGCGATGCAAGGCACCCTTCTGGAGAAGATGCTCCCGCAGTAGCGCGCCAACGCTGCCGTCCGCCTGCCGCACCGCGCGGGCATCCTCGTCCCTCACACAGCACCGCAACTCGCTGGGCGCGATGTGAACCTCCAGATCTCTAGTCTCAGCGCAGTCCCTTAGCGTGTGGAGGAAGCAGCGCAGTCCCACATTTTCATCCGCAAAGCAATGACACTTGCCGCGCCAAAGCCCCGCCAATAAAAGACGATTATACGCAAGTGGGTAGCGCTCCGTAGTCGTCTGCTGCAGGCGCGCAAAGAACACGAAGCAGAGCAGCTCCACCGAGGACCCAGCGTGACGCGTTGCCATGAACTCCTGCAGCACCTGCTGCGCCAGCGCTTCCTCCGTCATGGTTGGTCCGTCCGCGGGGGGCGGCGTCAAAAGGAACCGCGCCAGCGTTACACTATCGCGACTGGAAAATGCGGTTTGCCACAGGAAGAAAATCCACGCCACCTACCAAAAACGAAAAAGACCAATGGGGAAAAGGAAGGGATGGTCACACAGGAGGGAGGGAGAAAAAGCAATGCGCAGGACACACCCACGGCCGCAACAAGAGGGGCGGGGCGCATCCAAGTCCACGGCACCGTCCTTTACTTCTCTTCCTCGACGGAATAGCACTGCGGCTCACAGCAGGTCTTGGCGGGTGGCGCCCCACACTCACAGTGAGGCACGGCGCACACCATCCGCTCTCCCTCTAAGTGCACTCAGCAGGCCGGCGCCCAGTCACCCTCGTGCCCTCGCAATGGGGACCACAAACAATCGTCGTCGCGGACCATCAGTGCCTCTAGCAGGAAAGAAAGCAGAAGAAATGGGGACATGTCAACAGCACAATCAGCAGGGACACACCCAACGAAACAAGAAGACACAAAGTAACAGTCAAAACGGCAGAGTCAAAAACAAATCCGCAGGAAATTACCAAAAAAAGAAAAAGAAATTGAAACAAACAAACGAAATGTGGGACCCCTGCAGGTCTCAAGGAAAAAAAAAAGAAAAAAAAATGATGCGGCAGAACTTTCATGTGCCATGCAGCTAAAGACGATTGGGTGCTTGCACATATTACCTGCACAAACAAAAAACGTAATAATAAAAAAAGATCGCATTATTCCAGCATCCCACACAACATTCCTCACACTTCATGCGGCATCCGGCATTTTCCTCCAATCCTCCTTTCGTGCAGTCCATGGGACTTCACAGCCGCAGGGCCGGTACCGCGTGTGGGCAATAACAAAAACAAACAAGAGCGGGAAGCACATCACACATGACAGTGTGCAGCAACCTAAAATTACTGAAAGAAAAAACAACAGTAGTTATTACTCCGGTTGAACTACAGTGAAAAAAGACATTTAAAAGTAAAGAAATTGAAGAAGTAGAAGTAAAAAAAAGGCGGGCAATTCGGCATTTATTCTCCGTGAGGAGTCGCAAATCCACACTCTGTGGCTCAGAAGACTGCCACCACCCAAATACAATCCCAGTAGAAGCAGCGGCACACAAGACACGCACACACGCACGGTGTTGTTGCCGCCTAAATCACGCAGTGTCAACTTCACGTCGTTGAGAGAGGCAAGGCGGTCGTCGGGACTCACGCCGCTCCACACCCTGCGAGGTGACTGTTTGTAGTGGGGATTCGTGTCCAGGGGCGTTGTGCCCATTCATTTATCTTCCGTAATATCCCCAGCAATGTGCTCTCTGACGCTGTCAACTACTCGAATCTTCTCAGGTGGCGTCGGAGCCGCTTCCCTCGTCGGAGCGGGACACTTTCCTTGAGTGCACGCATCGCAGTGGAATTCGGTGGGTGGCTGTGCAGAAAGACGTTCGTCACCGTCACATGAGATTCGTGCCCAACGCACGCCCCAAAGCAAAACCTCAGGACCTCAGGTGGCCTCTCGCCTGTCAACAGCACCTCTTCCGCCCCCAGCGACTCGCCATCGACGTCCAAAGAGGCCTTGTTGCATTGCAGCATGAGTGCCACCTGGTGTTCTTTCCTCGGCCCCCAAGTGCTGCTCCGCGTTGTTTTCTTGCCTTCGAACGCCGTCTCCCACTTCTTATTGTGGCTGCACGACAGTCCCACGGTAGGATTGGACGCAGTGTCCGCCAGCACCGCAGTCAGTGGAGGAGTGTTCCCACTCGGAGTCTCTTCGATGGTCACCGACACCACAAGTGTGAAGTCGTGGCTCAAAAATACATGACGCACATTATCACCCCGAGTGTTCACAGGCCATATTGCCCTGGACTCAGGTCCCGTCAATTGTAACCCATCGTTGTCCTTCACTGCATTCCTTCACCGTCGCATGCAGGCAAAGGTACTCGTCGTTCCACGTGCCATCACTGGCCGCATCGGAAAAAACTGCCACCAGACACGCCGTGGGTGTAGACAAGCTGGAGAAGAAAATGTCCTTTTGCACCCAAGTGCTGAGGGCAGACTCGATTGTACTCAGTTCCTCCGTCAGGCGGGAAAGTGAAATGACACGGCCCTCACCGTTGCCCCTCCGTTGTAAAAGATGCAAATTGCCATCCGAGTGCAGCAGGGTGCTGGCGAGCATCCAATCCGCAGCAGTGTCCACGGCAACCGGTCCAACAGAAAACGTGCGGTTGTTGTCCGTGACCCAAAGGCAGAGCGCAGTGGCCCTTTTCTTCCCCGAGGCATGCCCTCTCTGAGTGCACAGCATGACCTTCCTTTCATCAATGGTCGCGGTGACGAGGGCATCCACACGCAGGCTTTCCTTCTGAGAGACTCCTGATCGGGCGTTGACCCACACGCCTGAGAGTGTCCCGATGGCCTCCGTCCACGCTGTCCCCATGCCACGCGACTCGCACACCCTCTGGCCACTCTCGCAGTCAACAATCATGAGAAGTGATCCCTCCCATTCTGTGACGCGGGGGCTAAGGCATTCCGCACGGGAAATGTCCTCAGAGAGCGCCCAGGCACTGCCGCTGTCCGTCGAGCAAATGATCATGGAGCAAACGTATTATGCTTCATCCTTCGCCATCAGAGGAAACACAAGCGTGCCATCCTCCATCACAACACCTGCGCCACCAGAAGCAATGAACTCCGTCCATTCACCTTGTGAGAAGCAGAAGGGATCCGTTTCGGGAGTGGTTTGGGGTCGCCACATTCGACCCGTCCACTCTGCCTGCCACCCGTGGGATTCGTGACATCACCCACAACCAGTTTCGGCTCCAAGCCGCCCTCTCTCCAACACCCACCTTCGTAGGGCACATCAGAGCCTCCCGCAAGAGGAAACACTCCGTTGCCCTTCGTGATTGTTGTGGGGCGGAGCACAACACCCAAACTCTCCTCTCCCTCCGCTGCACAAAGCACAGTGTGTGCCCTCCATGTATCCTTTTATTGACCTCACCAACAAGAGTGGACCAATTCCACGCAGAGTCGATGCACCCCGCAACCACATCAGAAGAAAAGGGCTTACTTAATTGACCACCTTGATATTCGGCATCCATGTGACCCTCGGCAAAAGCAGCAATTACTCCACCAGCACTGACGAGTGAGGGTGAAGCAAATGAATCCCTCGTCGTAACTAGAACAACCCCATCCTTCGGCTGCACCAGCGTCGTCTGCAGCACAAATAGATCGAATCCCCGCCGGTTCCTGAACACGTCGTAAATCAATCACGCCATCATTCTCCTTTGCAAGCGTTGCTCCTCAACTGCCGCAGCACATCATCACGACGAGGAAAAGCAGCACCGCGGAAGTAAACAAACGCCGGGACATGATGGGCCTCGGCGGCTCACTCTCCTCCTTCCCTCCTCCTTCCGCTGGATCCGGTCACGCGGCGACGGTTGTGTGTGCGGGGTGCCTTCACTGCAGCAACACGTGAGTGCATATAAATATGTGTGTGTGGGCGGTGTGTGTGCTGTTGGTCCTTTCGGAGACGTCAAATTCCACAGTAGCGATTCGCGCTTGGTCGTAGCTTCCTTCTTCGTGAGTGTGTTTGTGTGCAAGAAATCAAAGTAAAATCCAAAAAGCATCAAAACAGGACGTGGCAGAGGAGTGGGTGGCGCCACCAGCCACAGTGTGACACATCAGCGTCGTCGTAACCGCCACAGTAATTACTCTCACCGTCCACAACGGCCCAAGCACTGTGAGGCCACACACAGAAGCAGAGTCATTGACGTTTGCGCACGGGCCAATAAACCCTCCGGCAAACAGCACCAACCAACAGACAGCCAGCAGAAATTAAAGGCGAGCAAAATCCCAAGTGCTGCGGGGTCCTTGCAAGCAGCGCTCTCTCACTGCAGGGCCTTTAAAGCGTTCCTCGCTGCAACGTCCCCCACCACCCCCTCGGCGTGTCAGTGGATTTTCCCGTTCACCGGAAAAAACGGCGGGATGCTTCGGCAGTGGTCGAAGACACACAGAGTGCGCCGTCGACGCAATCAACGAGCGCAGACACTTGTGAAGTGAGATCCCACAACTGCGATCCCTCCATTTACTCTCCTGGACGTGGAGGAGGCATGAAATGTCCTCTTCTCTACAGTAGTCCTGAAACGCAAAAAAAATCCGCAGGACATCCCGCGCAGCCACGGCCTCCTCAGCAGCCTGAAAGTCCACGCCGTCGCACCGCTCCTCAAGAGGTCGCCAGGCCCGGTAAGGCAAGCAAAAGGGGACCAGCAATTTGTTAAAGACGTTCAGAAAAATGAGGCGCAGCAGTCGGGTGAGCGCGGCTCATCCACGTCCTCCCCCTCAACCGACCCACCACACAGTCGAATCACACACCGAAAAGAGCCGTGGCGTCTGACAAAATAGCACGGCCAATAGCACCTCGTGCTCTCCTCAATGTAGTGTCATGACACACACGAGGCATCACAGGAAGGGCCACATAATTGCATTCCATCGGCATAAGCACGGAAATAAAGCGCGGATTTTGCCCCAGTGAACTCCCATCCAAATCGTCTCAACCACAGAGTTTGTGTCGCCGACCCTCAGGAAGGGCTGATGCATCAACTGCCGCTGAACGATCCCCGGCGATGAAACAAAAAGAGCCACCGTCTCTCAAGGTTCGTCATCACCCTTTCTTCCCATTGAGGGAAGAGAACGCAAAGTGACGCTGTGGGCGTGTCTAGCTGACAGAAATGAAGGAAGTGGCTCCAGCCGTGAAACAAATTAAACGAATCCTCCTCCCGAATCCTTCAAAGAGACCGGTCGGTCAACCGCCGAGATTGACGGCGCGGAGGAAAACACCTTGAATGTATGGAGCACCGCAGCAACCTAAATATATTCTGCAATATCCGCGGTCAGTTCATGAACGTACAAAGAAGGGACAGAAAATTCAAGGGGGCGTGTGAACCTGTCAGTGATCACCCGCGCCGGAGGATCGCCACCTCCACCCTCCAAGGGC